CGCTCTCTGGATCACCACAGCTGCTAAGGTCATCAGCTGCTGTGGTCAGAGCTTTCACACTCACTGACACTTCCGAGCTGCACCCCAACCAAACTCTTCGGGAATCCGGCTTCTTCTCTCCCTTCCCTTCTTCCACTTCCCCCTCTAACCCAGCACCATCCTACCTGCACCAGATCCCAGGGGCGACTCAGATTTGCCAAAAATGTTTTTAGAATTAGGACAACACTCCTAAAATCTGACTTTAAAAATATACCAAAAACAAGATGGAAAGTAATTTCAGAGGCGTTCATAAAACTAAAAAGCAGGCGAGTACTTTTTTTCTCCTTTGCTTGCTTCATTAAAGTGGCTCAGATCTGGGTCTTCACTTAAGCCAAATTTCTCTTAATCACATAAAATAGAGAAAGGCGTCTACAGTCTTCTGTAATGCTCACTCTTAATGTACAAAAATTACTATTTTCTCATAGTGACCCACGGTTATTTTACTTATCTTTTCAAAAAAATCTTTTCTTTTTTTCCTGTTCTTTTCACATGTGTTTTCTTTTCAAGCTAGTGGTTACTACTTTAAAACCACCACAGTACAGTAAAAGGAAATCAAAGTAATCATGGACTACAGGATAGGCCATTGGCCTGACGGCACAGGATTTTGCAGCTGCTGCTTGCTAATTCATGGTGAACATGTAACCTCTTTCTCACTTAGTTTTCCAGTCTGCAAAGGGGAGTGTAGGAAGCAGAATAGCATCACCACCCTACCTCCATCACCAAACTCCCAGAGAGCTGTTGGTACAGCACAATGACTAACACAGCCAGCAAAGTGCTCACTGCACATACCAGGATGGCAGGAAACAGCTAAGAAATGGAGAAAAACAAAGCCCAGTAAATGAGCATCCTGCTGAACCCGGCTCCAGAGCCTTCTCTGCTACTCGGTTCCTGCCATCGAGACATGGTCTCCTGGACCCCGAAGCAATGACATTGTTTCCAGCAAAGCCATCCAGTGTAGGAGGTACTGTAGGAGCAGCAGCAAGGTCATTGTAGTGACCCTTCCTGTGCCAGTACCGTACACCATCTTGGTACCACTTTTAGTCAACTTTCAAATACTAAACTAATGCAATAGCTGAGGGTTTTGCTGGGCTTCTGAAGCACAAAGTTTGAAACACAGGCTTTACCTACATCACACCTGGCTCCCAGCACGTGGCAACAGCACCCAGGAAGCAGGGACTTCTCCATGAATGCTGCCTGCTCTCCTGCTCTCCCCACCCTCGCTCGGCCTGTTAACTCTACCTCAGCTTCAGGTAGGGACTCAGTGGCTGTGCCCCACCAAGCTCTGGTGTTGAAATCCTGAGCTCCAACATGATGGCATTTGAGGCAGAGACTGCAGGAGAGAATCGGATTCAGATAAGGCACCAGGGTGGGAACCTCACTAAGAGAATAGTGCCCCTGGGGTGCAAGGAAGAGAAGGAGATGGTCACTCTTTCTCTTTAACTTCCTCCCTTTCTCCCTTTCCTCTCTCTCTCTAGGAGCACATTGAAGAAAGGCTACCCAAGCACACAGCAAGAAGGTGACTATCTGCAAACCAGATGCACGGCCTCACCAGAAACCAAACCTTGCCCCTAGCCTTCCAGCCTTCCAGCCTCCAGAACCATGAGAAGTAAAGGTCCATTGTCTTAGCCCCAGTTCAGAGTATTTTGTAACCTGAAGGGGATACGGATACTCAGATACTCGAATTGGAACCATTGTCCCTTCTGGTCCTTGGATACCCACTTCCACCTAGAAGGCCCTTTCCTCCACTCCCTTGGTTATTCTGCTTTTCTTTTGAAAGAATGAGCAAAGAATTCCAACAATTCTTTCCAAGATAAGGTAGGCTGCTCTTCTCAGTAACCCTGAAACCAGCACCGCGCCCCGCTCCTGCACCACGACCTTTGTAAAATACACGCTCTCCAAGTCCTCAAACAGATTCGCCCATGTGTGATGGTCACCGTGTTCCTAGTCAGAGCAAATCTCATCTTTTCTGCCTGAGAGGTAGAGCGTTGTCTCAAAAGTCCCTGCTGTATGAGGCCTTTCCCGCTCTGATTCTTTCAGGATAAAACATGGGCTTCTCCTAGAGTATTAAATGCAAAACTCCATGTGGTAATTGACTGCTTTAGGATTAATAGACCAGTCCCTGGCCCTGTAAGTCCCTGATCCTTCACAAAGGCACTGTTCTGCGCTGCTTCCTGGCTGTGAACCTTTGCTCTCCCGCACCCTCCCATCTGGAAGTTTCTGCCTTGGAGCCGCAGAACCCAGACTGATTCTCTTGAGCCACATTCAGTCAAGAGCCACATTAAACCTCATGTCCCTTTAAGTTGTGGGCGTCGAGCATTGTGTCCTAGGAAGGAAAGCTGGTTGATACACTTGGCTAAACCACAGTTAAACCATTTTGGTTCACACACGATATAAAAGTGAAAGATTTCCCAGTTCAGTGCCCAAAAGGGGGGACTCCAGTCACTTCCACTGCTCACCCTCCTCTGGAATTTGGCATTCAAAACATCTCTACTCCTTTACATGGAAACAGACTCCTGGCATATTCATCCTGCAATCTTCTGCTTTGGTTAATGTATAAAGCAAATTACCCTAATAAATGAGGAACAGGAATCCCATTCTCTTCCTTCCTTTTTGTTTGATTTTTGAATCTTCATTTATGAAGACATCAAACCGTGATCTGATACCTACAAAATTCATGGGCCCAAGATGTAAAAAGTCAAGACTGTCCCGTATATGTTTTTTGTACTCTAAAGTACCCAGGGCACACTTTGAGACTATTAAAAAAATCTGATAACACAAGTCAAAGAGTATAAAAAAATGGAGTGAAAGAAAACCAAGAGACTTTCTTCTTAGTTAGATGTTGTCTGTTCTATACTATATTCCTTAGCAGGTCAGTCATTTTCTCCCATAGTTGTAATACTGCCCTACTTCTGGGCATTTTTCGTTCTGAGGCAGTAAATATTAATGAAGGTCACAGCACAAGCCTCATCTGAGGCTTGGATTTAAATTCTTCAGACATTTCATTCTGACTGACAATGCTGTGTTCAAAATCTTAGAATGTAAGTTTTGTACAAAGCTAAAGGATATCTTCCCTCCTAGCATTCGAATAAAGACTTGAAATAGTCCCCTTGTAAAGTATGAGAAAAGGGTCACAGTAAACAACGCATGGGAAGAGATTATGGGATTAACTAACACATTACATGCCTTAGACTCCGACATGGAAGGTTCCCAACCTTTCTTAAGAAGCCACTGTAAATTCCTATTAAGAAACTGACTTCTTTGCTTTGTCCATATCTAAATAAAGGGGCAGCAAATTTAGAAAAACTAGTAATTGTTTATTCAACAATACTCATATTAATAAAATACATAAACAAACTCAGAGATAGCTATGCAGAACAGTGAATGTGTAGTCTGTGTTAATAAACACAGATGATTTTATTTTTTGTCTTCTGGATTTCAGAATTTAGTCTTTTGTGCAGCAATATGAACAGACAGCATTATTAGTTTAGGATACTTGCCAGTGAGAAGAAAGACTCAGACTGATTTCTCTGAATTGACATTGAAACTAAAAAAATAGATAACTATATTTCAACTGTTTCTAATGATCTAAGATAGACATAAAAAATTCAATAAAAATGCATTTAAATGAAACCCTATAAACTCCACTTAACACATGCACAAGTAATAAGGTTTACTAATCACATTCTCCCCCTCCTCCTCTTTTCTTATAGATAGAAGACCATATAAAGAAGATGATAAAAATACAGCTGTAAATTTCATAATCAATGAATGTACTCAGATCTCTGTGGTTTAAAGACAAGCCCATGCGTTCACCTGTGATGCGCATGTAGGCAATTGCCAAGGTTTAGCTTTTATGAAACTGCAGAGCCACTCTGCCACAAAGAAGGACAAACTTTGGAGTCATCCATAGGTAAATGGGTGCCCCCGAGGCCACATTTATTTTAACTGAAGCAAATTAGACACATGAGCTTAAATACTGTATGGTTTCTCTTATGAAAAAAATTCAAAATACTATAGGAATAGAGAGCAAAATAAAAGATAATAGGATGTAGATCTTTTTCAAATGGGAAGGGGACCAAGACCTGGAAGGAGCAGGAGGGCTGGGAGGGGTAAGGGAATGAAAAAATACTAAAACGTATCACACACATGCACCAATCCCCCACGATGAGTGCAATCATTATGTGCTGCAAACATGTACTACTAATATTTAAATTTAAAAAGACAAGTGTACACTAGATCTAATATCCAGCCAATCAAACATTCAGTCTGCCAAACCCTAGCAGCAGATACTTCCCAAGGAATACTGTGCTTTTCAGTCTTTTCCTGGGATCACACCCCACAGAGGTCTTCTGAGTTCCAGTGATAGGAATTGAAGAGTAAGAAGGCCAAAGCAGGCAACAGTGCTGTACATAAATAATAGCACTGCGCTGTCTAATTCATACACCCACCATCTCTCCTTCCTACACCTGAACACTTAGGAGGAAAGCACTTAATCAGGTAAATAGGTTTGCACAGGTCACCACTGCCATAGCAAGCATCAAAAGACTGCCTCTTGTAGTAGGGGTGGGGAATGGGGGGGTGCAAAACTTATAAGCACCGGCTTGACCAAGAGATGCTGGGCAGTTATTAATGCTTCATTTCACAAGAGAGAACTTTTTACCCTTTGTTCAGAATGTGTTTTCAAATAACCCATTGATTTAACCAAAACAAAACCAAGCAAAGATAAGGAACTAAAGCAGAGCAACGTGGTTGGATTCCTTTTCTCAGAATCACATAATGTTGCCTTGGAAATTAATCTGGTAACAGTTTCCTTAACTTCGGCCTACATATTCTCCATCCCAGTACAAATCAATCATTTCGAGCCTCATCCCATAAGATCTCAGATCTATCTTACATGGATGGCATTGTCACTAAGAAATGATCTGGAGAGATGGTCCCGTCTGTCGGCAGCTCACACGTACCTTCAGGGAACTCCTGGGGCTGGACCACATGGACAAAGCCGTGCACCATGTGGAAGAGACCAGCGATGGGCCCGGGTACGTGGGAATCTGGGGTTTCATAGGTCACTGAAGGCAGCTCATAATGCAGATGTTCAGGGATGTCTGTGGGTGCAGACTGCCCTCCTGAGCCAGTGTTCGCGCCCAGCACCAGCAGCAGCAGCAGCAGCAGGACATTGAGTGTGAGGGCCATGGCTAGTGCAATCTCTGAAACATGAGGTAGCTTGTGGAAGCCTCAGGGAACACGATCACCTTCCTGTGCAGAAAAGACCCCCTAGGCCAGGATCTGCAGTGTTCTGTGCCTCCTAGGCAGGCTGGCTTTCTGCAAGATGTGTAGAAGAGCGTTCTCCACAGCATTCATTCACTCCGGGCACCGTACCTAGCAGGGGGAGATAGGACAGAGGAGTCACTCAGACAAGTGACCGGCCTGCACCTGGAGCTGCCCCGGAAGAGGGCATAGCTTTAAAGGAAGCCCTCCCACCTAGCCTAATCCGGGTGTGGATATGCATGGCCTGCAGGGGAGGAGCCAGTTTGCGAGGCAAATGCAGAGGAAGTCCGATCTGGGGAGATCACTCAAGACCCAGACCTCTGTGGGAATCTGACAACACCAGCCAGGAACAGAGGGTCTCGAAGTCCTGGAAATGAATGTTTACCGAGCAGGTACTGTGTCCCAGAAACTGTCACGCTTCTGTGGCATTACCCCATTTACAGATCAGTGAACTGGTGCACGATTTTGCCCAGAGGCGCTGATGAGTATTGGTGGAGCCAGAATTTAAACCCAGGAGTATGTACTAAGAACACAAACCCAAAGCAGGACCCCAAGACATTGTCCCTTCAGGGTCACCCATTCAGGTCCCAGGCAGAGTTCAGGGACCCCTAACAATGGAACAACCACATGCTTATTTTTTCTCCAAGTTTCTGTTGTTCTCCTCAATCTGGAGACCTCTTACTCTACCTTATATTCTACTTCTTTGCTTCCTAACCTCACATCAAACACCCTAACCTCAAACCAGCAGGGTGTCAAGATCAGGGGCCAAAGTGTTGAAGCCATGTGACACTGGAATCTGTTTTTTTAGAGTCACCAAATCACCCTAATGGAAGCATCTATCCCAAGTCATCACCACCACCCACCCAGGGAGAGGGAGCAAGAAACAGGAATCCTAACAACAGCTGCCACTGTGCATCCGAGGAAAGAGGACAGAGTGGGGTCAGTCCAAAGTAGACCTTGTCTGCTTGTTCTTCTATCCCTGGCATCTTACAGATGGCAGGGCACACAGTCAGCATCTGCATTCAGCATGTAAGCCCCTGCTGAATACAACAAATAAACCAAAACAAGGGATTTCTTGTGCCATTTTATGATTGTGAGTGAACTGGCACAGAACCCCAAAGATCTTCTTTCTCTGCTCTGGTATTCTGGAACACATTGGTACATTTCCTAAGCTACACACATACCTAGCTTACAAAATAAGGAAAAGGCACCCCTAAAACACACACTGTGAGCAGGGAATGAGGGTCAAAAGTGACACATTTTACAAGGGGCCAGAGGATCTGTACCTAGGTTCCAAGTCAAACCTTTTACTGTGTGTGTGGTACAGGTGACAGAAACCAGGGCCTCTCACATGTTACACATATGCTCTGTCCCTGAGCTGCACCTCGGCTCTTAATTTGTCCTCTAAGATCCTGTCACCCTTCAGTCACCTCTGTAGATAGCCACCAACAGAATGACCTCAAGTCCCCCTTTAGCAAAAGCATGAGCTGCTCAGATCTCTAAGGGACTCCCAGGACTGATCTCGTTCACCCTACACCTCAGGCTCGGTACCACATCAGGGCCCTAGTGTTCACCACAGTCCTGGTGACAGTTCCCAGGGGACTCTGTTTGAATGTCCCCCCCACACACACCAGACTCACACCTTAGCTAGCTGCTTGCTGAAGGACAAGTGGGGAGTTAAGCCTCCTCCACAGCAGCTGCAAGGATTAAAGGCTCAGTGGAGAAAGGCTGACTTCGGTAATGCCCCCAAGCCACAGAAAGACAGAAACAATCATCCCAGGAGAGCTATGAATAAACCTGCGCACTCCCTTGGTGAAAACGCAGATGCAAAGTCCCTGATGAACTGGACACTCCCATTTACCACTGCACCAAGCAGGGCACCACCCAATGCCTTGGAAGGCAACTGGAGTTCTGAGTCCAGATTCCTTTATATTCTCCCCCAGAGTATAGGTGTCTCTTACATTATAAAGGAAATTTCAAGACAATTATTAAAATCAAACCAATTAAGAAACAGCCGACAACTGATAAAAGTCAATTCAGAGTGGAGAAGTTTTGCATTTTGGTTTTCATGGCTGTGCCCAAAAGGTCTGTCTGGGAACTCATGTAGTAAAGCCCTTGGTCACAGTATCTGATGCTCACAACTTAAAGGAAGAGAGATTTAATTTGGCTCACAGTTTCAGGAGTCAGTCCCTGGCTGAAACATCATGGTGGAAGAGCAGTATGGAGCAAACTTCACGGTGGTCAGAAAGCAGAGTTAGGAAACAATGCCAGAAAATAAGGGGTGAGGGACCAGCTGTAGATGCTAAGATTAGGCCTCTGTGACTCACCCAGCAATATGCTCCACTAATCCCTCAGGTGGATTCCAAAGCCAGTAAAGGTGACAGGTCACCTTAACCATCAGGACTCCACCTTAACCATCAGACCAATGAGAGGAGCTGAGGGAGCTCCCAACACTAAATCCAGGAAATTCTCAGGATCAACATTTACATTTATGTCAGCATAAAGTGAAGTGTTTGCTTGAAATACAGATGACCACACTAATTTCCGGGATGGGGCTCTTAGTCTGCAGTTTGAGCTGCAAGCTCCCCCGGTGATTAATTCGGAAGACAGCTAAAGTTTGAGAAATGCCACTTACGATTGAAAACTCGCCTGGCCAACTCATGTCTCTTTCTAAGGACACTTCATTCAGATTTCCTAGGACAGTAAGACAATGGATGTGAGGTAAAAAATCTCCTGAAATTCCCTTACCACGTTGCTTTGTCTGTGTCAGCAGCCATGTAGTGACCCTAACATTTTTACCTGTGTAGTCCAAAGGTCTGACACGCATAGAGGAGTGTTAGAATAAAATGTGAGAAGATGACAAAAACAGTCATTTTATCTCAAAAGGATACCAAGCATTTTACCTGTCAGCTGTCTTACAGCCTGTGGAAGGACAGGGCCTGTCCTGCCTTTAGGGCTGCTGTGACTGTCCCCTCCGACCCAGGCAGCAGATAACTTGCTCTCTGGGTTCACTCATGGCAGAACAACTGGTCTACCAATGTGAAGAGTCACCTTCCCCTGAGACCCTGCCTTCAAAAACTTTGGAAACTGCTCTCAGCGGCAAATGCCTTAAACGGGTCTTGATCAATATGCCCGTCTTACTGTTTTTCCTGCTTTTTAAGGTACAGAGTTCTATTTTTCACTCCCACTGCACTGAATTCAAGGGGAGAAAGGAGACCCAGATGGTCAGTTTTAAACAGATACCTCATGTGATTCTGAGCCGGGACCCCTGAGAAACACATTTCAGCAAACGCTGGTTTAAACACAGGGTGACTGAGCCACTTCATCTCGTTTTCTTCTTTAGATGGAACTTCTCAACATCTTTCCTTTTCAAAAGGGTCCATGGAGTACATGTTTGTCACCCACGGGGTCCTTCTGGGAAGGGATGGGCTGCCTAACTTCTGAGCCCACTTTGTAAGTCCAACAGGAGGCAGCCCTGCCCCTCATTGTGAGGCCAGTGAGGTGCCCAGGTAAGTCCTGGGGAGTAGCCAAGCTCAGCCAATCAGATGCTTTCTCTTGCACCTGTACCTGAAGCACCCACTGATGCAGCTTTCCAGCCACTCTGGCAATGACAGGGGCAATTTGCCAGCAGCCACAGCTGGCTTCTGTGCTTATGGTTACATCTGCATGCCAGTCAGGACGCTGTCTCTCACATGCCCCAGGTTCCTGATCCTGCGTGGCCAGGCTTCCTGCCATTTCCACAAGCCACTCACTACCCAGCCTTCTAGGAAGAGCTGCAATCACCCAGAGACGCTTTACACAGTTTCTAACAAAGCATTTTGACCCTTAAGTCCCGTGGGTCATGCTTCTCCCCTTAGAAACTCATTTCCTTCATACTTTAAACAATAGCAACAACACAACACCTGGTTTAAAGTTTTGTTATTTTCAACCCGTCCTTTATTGCACTAGTTTACTTCATTATGCTAGAACACAAAGAAATACTCTAACATGGACATCATAAAGAAATTCTTAATAAAAATATGGCACAGTAAAGAAAACAAAACAAAGCTGAGGGGAACTGCTAAGTAGACCACAGCCCAAGCTTTTGAGACTGAGCAGGATCTCCAGTGGGTCTCACGAGCTCTGTGACAGTGACAGCTTCTCCCATTTTGCAATCTCTGATTTGATTACTGTGTTGATTGCTTTTCTTTCCTTGCTGAGACAGAATAACAGATGCCCAAAATTAAGGAAGGAAAGGTTTATTTAGCTCACAGTTTGTAGAGGTTTCAGTCCCTACTTGGCTGGCTCCAAGGCAGAGCGGTGTGGCAGAGGGGCAACAGTTCAGGGTGGCAGACAACAGCAAAAGCAACAAGAGCAAAAAGAAAGAAGTGCAAGAGAAGACTCTTTTTGTCCCTTATATCATATGTAGGTTACCCACTCTAGAGTGGGTGTAGTACTCACACCCATAACCATAGCACTAAACCATGAATCAGTCACAAACTCTAGAAGCCTGCCTCCATGACTGCATGAGGATTTGTGGGGACATCCAGCCACAAACCATACTAATCATCTGAAAAGTGAGGGTTCTGCTTAGGGCTGGCTGGTTAGGATGCCACCAGTGACTGAGGGGCTTTGCAGTCCACCATTCCACCATGCCCCGAGGCTCACTCATCCTGACAGAGAAGGCAGCTCTGTGGGGACTGAATGGGTAAACTCACAAAAAGTGTGAGAAAAGAAAAGAAAAGTAGCAACGTCACAAAGTTGCATTATATGACTTTGCCAATATCCAAAATTTCTGTGGAAAAAAAAATCACAAAGTTCAACCCAACGCATTGCCACAGAGTCCGGGGTGAGTGACATGGTGGAGGGATCTTCAAGGACTCCAATCATGCTCTTGCCAGATGAAGGTAGCTTGAAGGCAGCCAACATTGCACTGAAACCTGGTGTGCCTTTCTCCAGCCGGCGGAGCCAGGGGGAAGGTTGATCACAGCCTCGGGGTCCTAGGACAACCCGTAGCCGCAGGAAACTCGGGGCGCCTGCTTATCCGCCTTGCCCCGCAATCCAGCGCCAGGCCGGGCCGCTCTTGTCTGCCTCCCACCTGGGCAGGAGCCTGCCCCAAGCTTCGGAACACAAAAGAACAGGCGGCCAGGCGGGAGGGCGCGGGAAGCCGGCGGCCTCGGACTCCGCCACCGCCTAGGGGAAGGAGTAGCTGGAGCACCTTGGCCACTTACCCTCCTCCGGGTAGGGTAACAACTGGGGCATTCCGGCCACAGAGAGATGGGGACCTGAAACTCTGCTCCCCTCCTCGCCACTCGGACCCGCTCCAGGAAAAACTGACCCCGAGCCCCAACTCTTCCGGGAAGAGCAGCGAGGCTCTAGACTGCCCAAGTTCCCCTTTGTTGTCGTGTTGGCGCCTCCTTGCCCAGTGCGCCTGGAGAAACCCGGCTCTCCATCCCGGCCAAGGCGTGTATCTCCGGGCTGAGGAAGCGGGGATCCTCCCGGTCAGGGGAGCGTGCAGTCTCCCGCCGCCACGGGGAATTTCCCTTCGCGCCCCCAGCCCCCGCTCCTGCTCGGCCAGTTGCACTGCGCGCTGCGCTTAGCAAACCTTGTGGTTTGCTCTCTGTGTGCTCAGCCCCCGGCGCTCGGCGCCCTGCATGCCGCTCCTACACAGCCATTCCCGGCGCCGCCCCCCAGCCCCGGGAGAGCCTCCCCTTCGTTGCCGCAGCTCGCGCCCCAGAACTCGGCGAGACCCAGCCGCGGCCCTCCTCCGAAGCCTGGAAGTCTGGTCCAGAAGCTGCGGCGCGGGACACCACGCAGCTGGAAAAGTTTGCGCGCCCTACAGGATTGCCCGGATCTCCTCTTAGCCGGGCAACAGGGCCACCTCCTGCTCCCCACCTCCAGCCCGGGGGTGGGACGCAGTCGGGGCTTGGGCCACCTGCTGCGGGGTCAGGGAAGGGCGCTGAGCGAACTCCTGGGTCCCCGTTGCCTGTCCTTAGCATCTGGAAAGCAGCGCGCACGGCCCCAGCCCGATCCACGGACGCCTCTCCGGCTCCTCAGCTTCTCACTGCTTCCCGGCTCTCGCACGCCTGCCGCCTTCACCTCGCCTTACTGGATCCCGATCGCCTGGATTATTTAAAAACCGGCTCCAGAGACCACAGGACGGCTTCCCAAGAGCCCGCCCCGCCGCCGCCCGCAGCCCCGTCTGCCAGACTGGAACGGACCGCGGGTCTGCAGGAGCCCGGGACACTGCGGGAGGCCCGCCGAACCCAGAAACCCAGGCAGCCGCCGAAGACCTGTTGCGGCCTCCTCTGTCCCGGACCGAGATCTAGAGAGGAAGCCGCCGGCGTGGGGGTGACCCTTAAACGTACTCACCCCCGGCGGCAAAGCGGAGCGCGTGGCCAGGTGCCCCGTCCGCGCCCGCACGGTAATTTAAATATCGCTCAGCTTCGGCCTCGGGTCGCGCTCCGATTGGACGGCCGAGCCGCCAGGCCACAGCGCCCCGGGGTATCCACCCGGACCTGGCGGGCGTTCACTTCCTGCGCTGGGAGCTGGGAGCGGGGCCTGCACAACCCTGCTCCGCACACACGTCGCCTTTCACCCAAGCAGAGCCCTCTCCGCCCCTCCAAGGCAGCTACTTTCCTGAAAACTCCCGGTTCCCAGGCGCCTCGGGTGACTCCTCCCGGCCTCCTTTAGCCACTGTTGCCTGCCCCCGAGGCCTTGTTTGTAGAACAAAACTTAAGGAAAGCCAAGCTCAGGGCTGGTGCTGCAGCTTCCACTAGAGTACCACGCATGAAGCCCTGGGCCTTCCTCCCAGCACCCAGACAAAACACAACAAAAGTAAATGGAGTGCTTAGCGTGTGCCAGTCAGGATGCTTAGGGACTGGAGTCGTGCAAAGGGCTTAGCACGGGGATCTGCTGTAGTATAGAGTACACTGCATCCTATCTCACTGGTTTCATCGAGGGCCTTCCCGAATGACTGACTGACTGACCGACCCAGAATCTCCATCCTGCTGGTGGTGCCCTGAGCGGTGGGAGGCTTCTGACAGAAGTAACCAGGCTTCTGACTCCCCCTCACCACGCCCTCACTCATACTTCCCATCAGGAACTGAGCACGAGGGTCCTTTTCTGTCCTCACACATCCATGAATTCAGTAGGACTGGAAAATGTGTAACTGTACTATACCGACTTTTTTCTTGTCATCCTTCCTAAGCCTATAACTGATAGGATTATTTCCAAAAGATGAGAAGTATAAACAAAAGAGGCCTTTATGCTGAGAACACGGAGAGAGAGAACCAACAGCCCCCAAGACAGCTGGAGTCGCTTTTTCTCTGGGAATACCTGGCGTGGGGTGGGGGGTATATAAGTAGCCTAAACTTAGGGTAGTGCCCTAGGGCCATTAGAAATGCACACTATCTCATTGGCACACGTTTGGGGCCAGGGGCAGATTCTTAAGGGTGGGGGGAGATAGAGTCACAGGACAATCCCTAGGGGCGGGGAAGATAGGAGCTTCCTGGTTTGGTTGAGGCTTTTCTGGCTACAGTGTCCTGTCTGGGCCAAAACCCTTTCAATAACTAGTATTTCTGAGGTATGATCAAAACAGACAGAGAATGTTTAAAGAAAAACTTATAGGAAAAAGAACTGTTGCTATTAAGGCTCTCCCCACCTACCCCTCCCTTCAAGCATACTTGTCCCATTGTTCTTGGCACTTTCCGAAGCAGTTCTGGAAGTCCTCTTTCTTGTGGGTCTTCACAAGTTGTGAAGTTTTAAAACTACGGTGACTGCTGTGCAGAGTGCCATGAGAGAGTGGCAGACCAATAAAAACACGACGTGGCCCCATCCACCTCATTCACAGCACCTGGCACTGCGCATCCTCTGATTCTCTGCCCAAGTCCGAATGATCATGAATGGCAATGCTTGAATTGATTCAGATAATCAAGGCAGCGAGAACAGTGTAACTAAAGATGCTCAGGAAAGAGGACTTCCAGAACTACTTCAGAAAGTGACAAAAGCAATGAGATAGGTGTATTTGAAGTGAGAAAGAATATTTTGAGGGAGATTTTTAGCAATGCACCTTTTAATGTCATGAATTTTTAAAAATTTAAACAACTACCATATGTCTTGAAATACATAGTATTTACATCATACTGGGTATTATAAATTATCTAGAGGTTACAGTGCCCTGAAAGGTTGTGTAGAATATATGCAAATACAATGCCATTTTATATGAAGGACTTGGGCATCTGAGGATTTTGGTGCCTGAGGGGGTCCCGGGATGAATCTCCTCCATCAAATGCTAAGGGTGACTATGCAATCTGATAGGAAAAAATAATACTCAGAGAAGAAGAACATTTTTACGACAGTGTTAGCACCCAACAGGTGCTTAATGAATACTTGTGATTGTAGATGGGTGGACTGATGGGAGCATGGGGGACAAATGGATAGATGCAATGATGGATGGATGGACAAACTGATGGGTGATGGGCAGGAGCATTAACTCTGTAGCACATTCTCCTACCACAGAATCTAACATAAAACAAGTGCTGGGGTGGAGAGCGGTCTTTTTGTTTTGTTTTGTTTTGTTTTGTTTCTCTAAAGCTTCCCTCTTGAATGTGCGCGATTCCAGGACAAGAGACTGTAGTTCAGAAAACTTCTTAGATGACCGTACAACATGGCAAGGTTAGTGGCCCTGAAACTGGCTCCTAGTCAGTCCTGCATCTTCCTGCACAAGCCCGAGGCTCAGGGTCCCCAGGTCCCTGTCTTAGAGGGGGAGAGGAGCCTGAGCTGTGGAAGAGATGAGTTCCCTCCCCCAAGAGCAGCTCATCTCCTGCCTCAAAGTTTGGTCCTGTCCTGTTCCTGTGGCTCCTTAAACACCCTGAGCCTCAGCTCCCTTGTCTGCAAAATGCAGACAGTTAAAATTCACAGTGCTTGCTTTCCCTCCTAATGATAATATCAGCCCCAATAATAACAGTGCTGGTGAGCAGAAATACTTAATGAGCATTTACTATGAACCAGACACTGCCAAATGTTTTCAATGAGTTTTATGTAACCTTAGCAACCATAACAGTAGGAAAATTATGTTTCTATTGCCCCTATCTTGAAGATGAGGCTAAAATAGTTTCAGTCATTTGCCTGAGATCACACAGGTAGTGAGTGAAGCTCTGAATTCGAGCCCAGGTGCCCTGACCTCTGGGGCTCACAATGCAGTACACTAGCAAAGAAGCAAAACTCTCTGGCCACTGCTGCACTGGAGTGAAATGGTTAATTATCTGCCTTCTCCTACAGCACTGAAAGCTTCAACTGTGTTTAAAGCATTTCCATGCTCTACTCCAGCACTTGCTTCACCTGGACATTGTAGATGTTCAGTAATTTAAAAAGAACACACGAGGAACACAATGTTGAGATATTTCTGGGCACCCTTAGCAGACAGTAATGAGGCCGGACCATTTGTTGTTTGGTTCAGTCTGGAGCCCTAATCCTATAGGCCTGCTATTTAGTGCAACTAACTGTCTATGTCATTTGCTATTTGCAAAGCCAGAAGGGTGATGTCTACTCCTGTTAACATGTTCAGAATCATTAGAAGCAAAAGTTCGTGTTCCTTTCTGAAACCACACTTCATGTTTTATGCCTGAAAAAAAAATCTAAACATGAGACAGCAAGCCAGTTTGAAAGAGCCAGAAGACTCACGTGGGTCCAGCTTTGCCAGTGTGGCTGGGGAAAGTGCCTAGCTCCCCGGCTTCACACCCCTCACTGGTATCACAGCTTGGCTCAGCGACCATGTGGGCTAGTGGCTTCCATTCCAAATGTCACAGACGTAGGATTCTTCCATCATCACAGAAGGTGTATTGGACAGCTCTGGGCTAAACCATCGGAGGCTAAACAGTCAACTACAATGAAGACAAAAATGAGAGTAGCACTGGGATAAGAAACTCACATTTCAGCAAAAAACCATAAGGTTTACTCAGCCTTAGAAGTGAAGCCTGGGATAATGGCTGGGTTGGGGAGTGCTTGTCTGGCCTGTCCAAGACCCTGGGTGTAGTCCAAGCACCACAAAGGGGTGTTAATTGAGGTTAATTATTGTCAGACTAGACAAACATTATTGATTCCATAATCCTCTCTCTCTTTTGCAAGATCTTTCTTCAGATAGTTTAGCTATTTTTCTGAGTCACTAGGACTAAAGCAAAAATAGGTTTACAAGAACATGATTCTGGTGAACGTGACAATTTCTATCATGAATAACATGTTCAAAAGAAATAATGTGGCTTTTCAGATTCCCACGGCAGCTGCTGCTCTGGGATCCTCGCTGTGTTGCCAGTGGTCGCCATGGTGAAGCTCAGCAAAAGAACCAAGCAAGGCCACCACAGCTCTGCTCGGGTAACCAGTGTGCCGCCTGCTGGGGCTTCATTCCCCTTTACCTGAAACTGAAGAGTGATGCGGACCCCAGGATGCCTGAAACTACTGTTCTGAGCTTCGAATGGAAGCAATCATCAATCAGTGATCTATGGGAGCTGTGTGTGTGTGTGTGTGTGTGTGTGTGTGTGTGTGTATGCATGTGCATGCACACGCACATGCTTTGACTAGGGAGAGAAATGGCAGGGCACTCCAAACACTACCAGATGGATAGCACGGTGCTCCTCGCAGATGCATCTGTGGCAGGCTGAAACCTCTAATGACTTATTTATGATCAACCATAGCAAAATAAATGCTTTTAGCAATGAAAATACTATCTCTGTTGTTGTGGTTTGTGTGCTGATGTCTCCCCAAAGCCTCATGTGGTCATGGGTTTTTTTGGAGGTGGTCAAATCTAGCACATGGGATTAATTCATAGGATGGTGCTGGGATTAAGTCTGCATAATTACTAGATCACTCCACTGATTGGATTGGCACCACCATAATCCTGGAGAACTGGATACAATATAAGAGACACAGAGAGGCTTGTCTTGCTCTTAAGCTTCTGCTGTCTTCTGTTGCCATGAACTATTGCCCCTCTATCATGTGCCACCCTGCCTTGGAGACGGTTGATTATGGACTGCAACCTTTACAAACTGAGCAAAATCAGCCTTCCTCCCCTTTAACTTTGGGTGTTGGGTACTGTGTCTCAGCAGTGAAATAAATACGACTAAGACATTTGTATAAGGAAAAACCATGATGTATGACTTTTCAGAGAAAGAATCATCATCGTCTTAATACTGCTCTGCTCTTAAGACTGAAATTTGTGCAGTGGTAGGCGTAGAGGAGAGCTTGAATAGCTTCATGCATGCCAGATCTCCCTTGTAAATGTTTTACCTCATGATTTCCTATTCCTCTTGGTTTTTTCCTGCCGTGCCTCTGGGCTCAAATGCCAAAGATAACATCATCGGTGTTGAATAACCAAGAGCC